CCCTTGCCAATTTCTGTTCCATTTTGTTTAAAAATGTAAATCAGTGTGTGAGCCCCCCCAGGCAGCAATCAGCCAGGCTTTGAAGATGCAAGGCCATTCAATGCTAATGAAAGTGACCAACTGCAACATCCACTTATGGTTAGTGCATAGGTTTGCAGTCTCATAGCTGGCAAAACACAACAGCGTGCTGTCGAAGGCTTTCATGGCTGGAATCAAGCAGAAAGCAGCCAGGCTTTGAGGCTGCAAGGCTATTCGATGCCAATGCCAACCTTCACACAGGTTCCAGCTTAGCCTTGAAATAGGTCCAATATGGTGAGTAAGTTGCTGTGAGTTTTCTGGACTGTCTGGCCATGTTCCAGAAGCATTCTCTCCTGACGTTTCACCCACATCTATGGCAGAAGAGAATGCTTCTGGAGAATGCTTCTGCCGTTTCACCCACATCCTCAGAGGTTGTGAGGGGAATTCCAGACAAAAATCAATCAGGGCCGGCTAACACTTCCCAAGAAAGGATTCCCCCAGGCAGGAAGCAGCCAGGCTTTGAAGCTGCAAGGCCATGCAATGCTAATCAAGCTGGCTAACTGCAATATTCACACTTGCCTCCAGCAGACAAGAGTTCTACCCTGGAGATATCCAAACCCCACTTGCCTAGTTTCCAACAGACCTTGCACCCTCTAAGGATGCCTACCATAGATATGGGCAAAATGTCAGGAGAGAATGCTTCTGAAATATGAATATGGACACCATAATAATTCAAATCAAAGGACAGCCCGGAAAACTCACAGCAACCCAGAACCTATCTTGTTTGTAACTTGGGTACTGCTTGTATATATTTTGAAGATGTAACTGTAACGGTGCGTCTGTGTTACAATCTATATACTCAACATTTTGTATGTGTTACTTCTGCAAAAGACAAACCGAAAGGATGCTGGGGTTGGAATTGCGGTCATGGTCGGAAGCCTGCTGATAAGGCAAAAAGTAGAGTCATCTGATACATAAATCATAAGGAAACCACCAGACCATTAATCATACTTAGAGGACGTTCGTTTTGGCAATTAAAAGCATTGTAAGTAAGGAAACCGAGCAAACGGGATGTTGTATCTAGAAAGACATCTCTTGGTAATCTCAAAACCTTGAACCAGAATTCTTGGAATCATAATAGTAGTAGTAGTAGTAATAATAATAATAATAAATCTCTGGCACAAGCCAGTCAAGGTGGTCCCAGTGGTGATCGACACACTGGGTGCAGTGCCTAAAGACCCTGGCCTGCACTTAAACACAATCGGCACTGACAAAATTGCCATCTGTCTACCTACTGGGATCTGCACGCATTATACGCCAATACATCACACCGTCCTAGACACTTGGGAAGTGTCCGATGTGTGATCCAATACCACAACCAGCAGAGTGATCTTGTTTGCTGTGTATATAATAATAATAATAATAATAATAATAATAATAATAATAATCCAATACAACAGCCAGGAGAGTGATCTTGTTTGCTGTGTACCAATTTTGTTGTGCATATAATAATAATAATAATAATAATAATAATAATAATAATAATAATAATAATCCAATACAACAGCCACCAGAGTGGTCTTGTTTGCTGTGTACTAATTTTGTTGTGCATACAATAATAATAATAATAATAATAATAATAATCCAGTACAACAGCTAGCAGAGTGATCTTGTTTGCTGTGTACTAATTTTGTTGTGCGTATAATAATAATAATCCAATACAACAGCTAGCAGTGTGATCTTGTTTGCTGTGTACTAATTTTATTGTGCATACAATAATAATAATAATCCAATACAACAGCCAGCAGAGTGATCTTGTTTGCTGTGTACTAATTTTGTTGTGTATATAATAATAATAATAATAATAATAATAATAATAATAATAATTCAATACAACAGCCTGCAGAGTGATCTTGTTTGCTGTGTACTAATTTTGTTGTGTATATAATAATAATAATAATAATCCAATACAACAGCTAGCAGAGTGTCTGTTGTGGATTCATCTTGTTGTGTTTCAAATAATAATAATAATAATAATAATAATAATAATAATAATTATTATTATTATTATTATTATTATAGACCACCCTATCTGCCGACCGCCATCTCCCAAAGCAGTTGCTCTACTCCGAACTCAAGAAAACGGAATGTTGATGGGCAGGAAAATAGATTTACAGATGGGCTCAAAGCCAACCTTAAAAACTGGCATAGACACTGAGAACTGGGAAGCCCCGGCCCTTGAGCGCTCCAGCTAGAGGTCAGCTGTGACCAGCAGTGCTGTAGAATTTGAAGAGGCACGAATGGAGGGTGAAAGAGAGAAGAGTCCCAATAGGAAGGCGCATCAAGCCAACCCCAACTGAGACCACCTTCCACTTGGAAACCAATGCCCTCACTGCGGGAGAAGATGCAAAAATAGGGCTCCACAGTCACCTACAGACCCACCCTGGAAGACAATGAGGGATCGCCTAAGCAAGTACTATATGTCAGGAATAACTTGAAGGCACACAACCACAAGAAAATCCAAACCAACAACAACAAACCATTCAAAAGAAACAGAGGTAGCTGGAAGAACAGAAAATAACCAGCCGAAATGCATTTCCATGTTGTTTGAGCCAAGAGCAAAGACTTTGTCTTGAGGTTCAAGGGTGGGGACTTTCTTTTGGCCAAAGGAATGAATCCAATCCCGGAGAAGTTATCAGGAGCCACATTCCAGGGATGGGTGAGACTAAAAATACCAGTGCATGTTAGCCTCCAGCTCTTAGAACTAGTAGCTATGCCTCTGAGGCGGAATGTTGACCATTTAAAACAAGGGCAGGGAAATGTTTAAAAACAGAGACGCCTCCAAACAAGGATACTATGGTGAAGTCTGAAAAAAGTACAGAGCCCTGGAGGGGCTTAACAAATATATTATCTCTCAAAAGTGAAGTGCCTAGACAGAAAGAACATTTGTTATTTTCAATGTTAATTATTACAATGCATAGAGAAATATATAGCTTTTATATTATGTTTATTAAATGCTGCTAAACAATTCATTCTTAGGGTAAGACAATATTTGATTCACAATGTAGACCCAAATCCATGCTCTCTATGTTTTAGTAAATACTATTCTGTCTGTCTTGCTATAATAATGGGCACCCTATGGCTGTCCAGATATTATTAAACTACTATTCCCATCATTTTGACCACTGGCATGCATATTTCCAAACCGTAGGGGGTGGATATGCGCACTCTATATGCATAGAGGTGCATACACATACCATATGTGTGCCCTATATACATGTGTGGATATGTGTATACACACTGTATATGTGCCCTATATACATGTGTGTTTATGTATATATCTATACTATATACATATATGTATATGCACAATTTGCATCCTAAATATGTGTGTATATACACTATATACATGTATGTGTGGATACACACAATTAATGTGTGTGGGTATATATATACACACACATACACACTATATATATATAGAGAGAGAGAGGGGGGGCACACTGTACACATGTATATGGGGTACACGTATGGTGTGCATACACACAATATATGTGTGCCCTATATGCATATGTATATATGTACACTATATACATGTGTATGCACACCATATGTGTACCCCACATACATGTGTACAGTGTGCCCTATATACATGTGTACCTTTTTGCTATATATGTGTATACATTATATACACTCTGGTTTGCATGCTGCAAGTTGTCTCTGGTTGCTTCTGGATCGAGAGAATCAGCCGTCTACGAAGACGTTGCCCAGGGGATGCCCAGATGTCTTGCAATCCTGCGAGGAGGCTTCTCTCATGTCCCCTTGCGGCAACACCAGAGGCACTCCAAGTGGCCAGATACTGGTCAAAGGACATTTAACCAACTATCAAGTTTGCAAAATCTGTGTGTTTTTTTCTTTTTCTTTTAAATCTCTGTGTTTGTTTTGTTCTGTTAGAATTGTAACACAATGGTATGGTTGCTGATGACATGATAAATAAATAACTATATACACTGATGTATGTGTAATGTATACATGTGTGTACATATATGTGAATTATGTGTATACATATACATAAACTATATACGTGTGCCCTGTATGTGTATATATACATTATATACATGTGTGCATACATACAGTATACGTGTGCCCTATATACATGTTTGTGTGTATATATGTGTGTAGATATAAATATATATATAAATGTATATAAATGTATGTGTGCATACACAGTATATGTGTGTTCTATAAACATATGTACATATACATGTGTGTACACTTATGTGTACTCACACTGTGTGCCTTATATACATGTGTGTATATGTATGCTATATATGTGTGTATTCACTACATGGACTGCGAGAAGATCCAACCAGTCCATCCTCCAGGAAATAAAGCCCGACTGCTCATTGGAGGGAAGGATACTAGAGACAAAGTTGAAGTCCTTTGGCCACATCATGAGGAGACAGCAAAGCCTAGAGAAGACAATGATGCTGGGGAAAGTGGAAGGCAAAAGGAAGAGGGGCCGACCAAGGGCAAGATGGATGGATGGCATCCTTGAAGTGACTGGACTGACTTTGAAGGAGCTGGGGGTGCTGACGGCCGACAGGGAGAGCTGGCGTGGAATGGTCCATGAGGTCACGAAGAGTCGGAGACGACTGAACGAATGAACAACAATTCACTACATACACTGATGTGTACATATACATAAACTATACAGTATGTACATATATGTAAACTACATGTGTACACATTTATCCTATATAGCAGGCATGGGCAAACTTCGGCCCTATAGGTTTTGGACTTCCATAATTCCTACGAGTCGGTAGGATGCTGGGAATTGTGGGAGTTGGAAGTCCAAAACACCTGGAAGGCCAAAGTTTGCCCATGCCTGCTGTATACATGTGTGTGTGTGTGTATATATATATATGCACACTCTGTATTTGTATGTGTGTGTATGTGCCCATTCCAAAGGTAGGCCCTACCTGAGGCCTGGCCCCTTCCTTGCTCCCCTGAGTCCTGCACCCAATACCTGCAGCGCGGCCTTGCAGCCCTCGAGGAAGCCTTCCATGGCGGCTGAGGGAGAAGAGAGGCCTCCCTTCCGTCCCGCAAAGGCTGCCGGGGGAAAGGAAGGGCCTCCGGGGCTTTAAATAGGCGTGGGGCGGCGGGGAGAGGCCTAGAGCCGTGCCTAACCGTGTTTGTGCGGACTCTGAAACCCACTCGGCGGCCATTTTGGAAGGCCGTGCGAAATGACCGTTGCGGCGCATGCGCAGTTCGCCACGCAGCCCATCCTCTCCTCTTTGGCAAGGCTGAGCGCGCATGCGTACAACACGTTGCTCTCACTCTCTTTCGCAAAGCTGAGCGCGCATGCGTAGAACACGTTGCTCTCTCTCCTTGGCAAGGCTGAGCACGCATGCGTAGAACACATTGCTCTCTCTCCCGCTTTGACAAAGCTGAGCGTGCATGCGTAGAACACATTGCTCTCTCCCTCTTTGACAAAGCTGAGCGCGCATGCGTAGAACACATTGCTCTCTCCCTCTTTGGCAAAGCTGAGCGCGCATGCGTAGAACACATTGCTCTCTCTCCTTGGCAAGGCTGAGCGCGCATGCGTAGAACACGTTGCTCGCTCTATTCCCCTTTCGAAAGGCTGAGCGCGCATGCGTAGAACACGCTCTCTCTCCCTCTTTGGCAATGCTGAGTGCGCATGCGTAGAACACATTGCTCTCTCTCCTTGGCAAGGCTGAGTGCGCATGCGTAGTACACTTCTCTCTCTCTCCTTGGCAAGGCTGAGCGCGCATGCGTAGAATACGTTGCTCGCTCTATTCCCCTTTCGAAAGGCTGAGCGCTCATGCGTAGAACACGCTTTCTCTCCCTCTTTGGCAATGCTGAGCGCGCATGCGTAGAACATATTTCTCGCTCTATTCTCCCCTTTCGCAAGACTGAGCGCGCATGCGTAGAACGCTTCTCTCTCTCTCCTTGGCAATGCTGAACGCGCATGCGTAGAACATATTGCTCCTCGATTCTCCCCTTTCGCAAGACTGAGCGCGCATGCGTAGAACACGTTGTTCTCTCTCCCCTTTCGGAAGGCTGAGTGCGCATGCGTACAACACGTTGCTCTCTCTCTCTCTCTCTCTCTCTCTCTCCCCGCCAACGACTTGGCTCCCAATTGGAGCGTTCGGAAAGGGGCGTGGCCTAACAGGTTCAATGGCTGTCACTCCGGCAACCATAGACTAGAACCAGGAAGAGAGAGTTAGAGAGAGAGAGAAGAGAAAGGTTGCGAGTTCGAATCTCTCCTGGGCTGAAATCCTATATACTATACATAATAATAATAATAATAATAATAATAATAATAATAATAATAAAATGTAATGTTAGTATATTTATATTTAATAATATATTTTATATATAATTAAAATATTTTTTAGTATTAATTTTTAATTATACATTTTATTTATACTAATATATTTACATAATATATTGCATATTATTTGATAATGATATATTTTATATTGTTGATATATAAATATATTAATAATATTACATTATAAATACACAAATATATTAATATTATATTACATTATATTATATTATAAATATAATAATATAATAATATATTTTATAATGATACCATATAAAACAATAATAGTAGGAATAGCATTCATTTGTAAAAAAAATTAGTATTAATTTGTAATTATTTTCCATTTCAGACCCTATTTATATTGTTAATATGTAAATATATTATTAATAATAGTATTACATTATAAATACACAAATATATTCATATTATTATATTATATTATATTATAAATATTATATTATATTATAATATAATATAATATAAATATAATAATAAATTTTATAATGATACCTTATAAAACAATAATAGTAGGAATAACATTTGTAATTTTTTAGTATTAATTTTTAATTATACATTTTATTTATACTAATATATTTACATAATATATTGCATATTATTTGATAATGATATATTTTATATTGTTGATATATAAATATATTAATAATATTACATTATAAATACACAAATATATTAATATTATATTACATTATATTATATTATAAATATAATAATATAATAATATATTTTATAATGATACCATATAAAACAATAATAGTAGGAATAGCATTCATTTGTAAAAAAAATTAGTATTATATATTATTATATTATATTATAAATATAATTAATATTAATATATTGTGTATTCATATTATTCATATTGTTTGATAATGATATATTTTATATTATTGATATATAAATATATTGATAGTAATATATTAATAATAATATGAATAATATAAATACACAAATATATTACCAATATTGTTATTATATTTTATTATAACTATATAAATATAATAATGAATTTTATAATGATACCTTATAAAACAATAATAATAGCAATAGCATTCATTTGTAATTTTTTTTAGTATTAATTTTAATTATTTTTACATTCCAGACCCTTCTGTTTCCCAAATATTATAAATACACGAATATATTCATATTATTATTATACTATATTATAAATATATAAATATAATAATATATTTTATAATGATACCTTATAAAACAATAATAATACGAATAGCATTCATTTGTAATTTTTTTAGTATTAATTTTTTATTATACATTTTTTGTTTATACTAATATATTGAGATAATATATTGTATATTATTTGATAATGATATATTGTATATTATTGATATATAAATATATTAATAATAATATTACATTATAAATACACAAATATATTCATATTACTATATTATATTATAATATAATATAATATAATATAATAATAAATTTTATAATGATACCTTATAAAACAATAATAGTAGGAATAACATTTGTAATTTTTTAGTATTAATTTTTAATTATACATTTTATTTATACTAATATATTTACATAATATATTGTATATTATTTGATAACGATATATTTTATATTGTTGATATATAAATATATTAATAATAATATTACATTATAAATACACAAATATATTAATATTATATTACATTATATTATATTATAAATATAATAATATAATAATATATTTTATAATGATACCATATAAAACAATAATAGTAGGAATAGCATTCATTTGTAAAAAAAATTAGTATTGATTTGTAATTATTTTCCATTTCAGACCCTATTTATATTGTTAATATGTAAATATATTATTAATAGTATTACATTATAAATACACAAATATATTCATATTATTATATTATATTATAAATATAATAATATAATAATATATCTTATAAGGATACCTTATAAAACAATAATAATAAGAAAAGCATTCATTTGTAATTTTTTTTAGTATTAATTTTTAATTATTTGTACATTTCAGACCCTTCTGTTTCCCAAATATTACATTATAAATACACAAATATATTATTATTATTATATTATATTATAAATATATAAATAATATATCTTATAAGGATACCTTATAAAACAATAATAATAGAAATAGCATTCATTTGTAAATTTTTTTAGTATTAATTTTTAATTATTTTCCATTTCAGACCCTTCTGTTTCCCAAATATTACATTATAAATACACAAATATATTCATATTATTATATTATATTATATTATATTATAAATATAATATATCTTATAAGGATACCTTATAAAACAATAATAATAGGAATACCATTCATTTGTAATTTTTTTAGTATTAATTTTTTATTATACATTTTTTGTTTATACTAATATATTGAGATAATATATTGTATATTATTTGATAATGATATATTGTATATTATTGATATATAAATATATTAATAATAATATTACATTATAAATACACAAATATATTCATATTACTATATTATATTATAATATAATATAATATAAATATAATAATAAATTTTATAATGATACCTTATAAAACAATAATAGTAGGAATAACATTTGTAATTTTTTAGTATTAATTTTTAATTATACATTTTATTTATACTAATATATTTACATAATATATTGCATATTATTTGATAATGATATATTTTATATTGTTGATATATAAATATATTAATAATATTACATTATAAATACACAAATATATTAATATTATATTACATTATATTATATTATAAATATAATAATATAATAATATATTTTATAATGATACCATATAAAACAATAATAGTAGGAATAGCATTCATTTGTAAAAAAAATTAGTATTAATTTGTAATTATTTTCCATTTCAGACCCTATTTATATTGTTAATATGTAAATATATTATTAATAATAGTATTACATTATAAATACACAAATATATTCATATTATTATATTATATTATATTATAAATATATAAATATAATAATAAATTTTGTCATGATATCTTATAAAACAATAATAATAAGAAAAGCATTCATTTGTAATTTTTTTAGTATTAATTTTTAATTATTTGTACATTTCAGACCCTTCTGTTTCCCAAATATTACATTATAAATACACAAATATATTATTATTATTATATTATATTATAAATATATAAATATAATAATATATCTTATAAGGATACCTTATAAAACAATAATAGAAATAGCATTCATTTGTAAATTTTTTTAGTATTAATTTTTAATTATTTTCCATTTCAGACCCTTCTGTTTCCCAAATATTGCATTATAAATACACAAATATATTCATATTATTATATTATATTATAAATATATAAATATAATAATAAATTTTGTCATGATATCTTATAAAACAATAATAATAAGAAAAGCATTCATTTGTAAATTTTTTTAGTATTAACTTTTAATTATTTTCCATTTCAGACCCTTCTGTTTCCCAAATATTACATTATAAATACACAAATATATTCATATTATTATATTATATTATAAATATAATAATATAATAATATATCTTATAAGGATACCTTATAAAACAATAATAATAGGAATAGCATTCATTTGTAATTTTTTTAGTATTAATTTTTTATTATACATTTTTTGTTTATAGTAATATATTGAGATAATATATTGTATATTATTTGATAATGATATATTGTATATTATTGATATATAAATATATTAATAATAATATTACATTATAAATACACAAATATATTCATATTACTATATTATATTATAATATAATATAATATAAATATAATAATAAATTTTATAATGATACCTTATAAAACAATAATAATAGGAACAGCATTCATTTGTAATTTTATTTATTATTAATTTTACATTTTCAGGTGGAGGATAGGATTGGCAATATTGTCATGCCATGAGTCCTCCAG